TCCCTATTGACCCAAACAAGCTCACACGCCCATGGATCCCCTCCCCCACTCAAGCCCCGACTCGCCCTAGAAGGAAAACCCTTTATGCAATCGCCAAAGGAACCCCGCCGTATGACCACTCCCCGCCCCCCACCCCCCGAAGGCGGCCAAGCACGAGCGTGTGGGTGCCGCTCTACAAACCCGTGCGGTGAAGTTGAACAGCGCGTTGTTTCTTGGACGGCATGGTATTTTCGACTGCGAAAGCCCGGTGCAACTGCAACTACAGCAGTAGCAGCAGTAACCCCAGCACCCGCAGCAGCAGCAGCAGCAGCAGCAGCAGCAGCAATCGTAGCCGCGCCTCTGACACCAATCAGCGATTTAACCTACCTTCTCCGCGCCATCCAACAAACGTTGCGGTAACGCCATTCTATCCAACAGAACATCGCCGTGGTATTTAGTAGAGCAAGGCACACAGCTCGCACCGCAACTTCAGCATACCGCCTACCTACTCCAACACGCTTCAAGGGCCGAAGGAAGTGGCGGCGGCACGAGGCTACTATAATACTACATGAGCGAAGAGAGCACGACTTCGTGCCTCTACTTCATAAGCGAAGAGAGCACGACCCCGGCCAACGCATCGGTGACCCCTCCCCACCTGCTTGATTCGCGAGTTGAGCTCCTTCACCAAATCGTCCTTGCTGCTCACAGCCTCAGCGAGAGCGGTGTTGTTCTCGAGGGCCCGTCCGAGGGAGCGGTTAAGCTTGAGTGCCTCCAGCTCCTCCGGGGTGGGGGCCTTAAGCTTGGAAGGCAACTGCAGGGGGATAAGAATTGTCATTTCATGCATGGGAGGTGATGACAATCGTGCTCAAGCATGCCACAACAAAGTCTTAAGCGCGTTAACTACTCCAGGTCGCCCTTGGAACACTACGTCCCAGAGCTGCAAAAAAACATGCCATTGTACAGGACTGTTCTGCTGCTGTAAGGTCGTCCGTCGGCCTGACGCACAGAGTCGGGTTGAGCTGGGGTCCTTCGTAACTCTAGGAGGCGTGCAAAGACCAACCAGCCGTCGGGGGTAGGTTTAGAGGCAAGCCGCCATAACAGCAGTTCTGTGAGCGAACGACCACAGAAAAATCAACCAGAAGAAGCGACCAGAAAAACAACAAAAAAAGGAGCCCCGTGTGGCCTTTCCTCCTGCTATGTGATGATCCCCGGATGATGATGCTTCCGGAAAATATCTCTACCGCAAGGTGGAATAACGGGACCAAACACAGACACACACGCAACCAGGCGGTCGGTAGAAACGTTCGACGAGACTCACGAGCGGCCGGAGGTACGCTTGCGAGACACACCTCCAAGACTAACGTCTTTTCATTGGTCTCCAGACGAAAGCATCGATAATTCAAAAACACATAAGCACAGCCAAAAACACAAGTGCCATGTACATGTTAGCCGAAACACACACATATACACACAATCAGGCGGTCGGTAGATGCGTTCGAAAAGTTCCCACCAGCGGGCGGAGGTAAGCATCGGACACACGCCTCCACGATAGCGGGCCGGCCCGCGAGGACTGCTGCCGCGGCTGTCCATCCCCGTCCATGAACAGCTTCAGTCCCTCGTCCAATACCTCGATGTCTTCCATGGCCATCCTCAGCTGACGACATTTTGATTTGACCAATCAAAGGCGGAACATATATAGGTGCGAGGTCGTATGGGAGTGTAGGTGGCAGTGAGACAGTATGGGGTGGATGATAGTCTGGGGCGTGTGCTGGTCAAGATCAGAGCCTTGTCTTGACCTCAAGACTCGCCCCATGCGCACACAGCAGTTGCCTGCCCGCTGTGAACAGGAACGTGTCGCTACTGCCGTTAGTGTTGGTTGTGTCAAGAACGAATGAAACAAAATATCGATGAACATATTCCTATTTCATTCAAACACACGTGTCGTGAGTCTGCTGCCAACAGAGATCTGGCATTTGCTACTGATATTGACGTGCGGAGAACGAACGAGCATCATGGATTGGCTAGACCTTGGTCTCCTTTCGAGCGAGATTGTTTCGAACACAAAAAAATACTAGACTCCATGAGATGAAGAACACGGAGGTCGTTATGTTCTTATCCTTGGACGACGTGATTGGTCGGTCATAACATCGCCTCCTGTTGAGTGATGAACGGATGAAAATATATATATATACAATCAATGTGAAAAAGAACCAGCAGCTTATTTTTCTTGGACGATGATATGATTGGTTGGGTTAAATTACCTTCGTTTCCGAAGAGTTAGCCCGCAGCTCGGCCTCTACCGCGCTCTCCTTCAAAGCCGACAGCTCCTCCAGCAACGAGGTGCTAGACACACACAGAACATCGTCATGAAGCCGATACGCCATGCACACGGGTCAGTCAGTCAGTCAGTCAACACACGAACGCAACGAGAGCGGGCATCCAGGGAGCAACGGGAACGGGCATCCAGGGAGCAACGAGAACGGGCATCCAGGGAGCAGAGGGCAGAGACCCGAGCGGGGCAAGCGGAAACAAAGGTGGCATAACGCATGAGCGCTGACCGGTTGCTTTTTTGTCCCCTTGCAATCTATATCAGGTGGCATTTCCAGGGGTGGGTCTGAGAAGGGGCTGCAACGGCCGCTATCACAAGCGTCCACGATTCATCGATGACGGATTGACTTCTCGGGACGAAGGCCCCCTCAATCTGTCCCGGAAGTTTCCAGGCCCCCCAGTACCCAACGAACGCCACACGAGGGGCACTACCCACGGCGATGGGTGTACCCGTACAACAACGGGGATGGTAACTCTCCCGCTTGTGTCTACAGAATGGCCCGCCGCAACAGCCGAGACGCCAGTGGAACAACACACATTTGCAACCAAATCAGAGAGCTAATAACACGCCCCAGACGACTAAAACAGTATGCCACCGGACAGAGCGCATGACGCATCATAACCGTCGCCTAAAAACCTTGTATCTTCAACCCCTTTCCCCCCCAAGGACGATTACGAGCTTCTGGCCCATTCTTGTGAAACGTAACCTGGGCCCGCGGAAACCCGGCATATCACTCCGTCCCGGCAGTATCGGTACGCGAGGTCAATGGTCGTGCGGCATGCGTTTACACCCCCCCCTCCTCCCGGACCTGTCCCGCACCTGTTCGTCTGCGCCGCTGCGAGCTGCCCCTTCAGCTCCTCCCGCTCCAACCCTAGCGAGACAAGCCACTGCCCCGCTGCCGTAGCGTTCTCCTTGGCCGACTCCGCCTGCCGCAGGGCGAACGCCTCTGCCTTCTCCGTCTTTTCCTCCGCGGCTGTGGCCGCCGCTAGCGCCGCCGCCTTGCCTTCCTCCTCCTTCTTGAGAGCGGCCCTGTCGCGTCGTTTATCGGAGGAGAAAGTCCCAGCCGCAGGCCGGCCTGTTGGAATGGCCCTTGTTTGAACAGCACTTGTCGTCCCCGCCTTTGCGGATACTCGTTCATATATAAATGAAAAATGCCTGACAAGCGGAGAACTTGTCCATGAACGGATGCCTACCACCCTTACGTTGTTATTGCCTTCTGCCGGGCACCACGCTTCTGACAATCCATGGTGTCCTTGAAGCGGTAGTGCCCTTGATGTTGGTGTCTTTCAAGTGGGGTTAGGACGACTCTGGATCGAAAGGACTCGAGTACTTGGTAGTGAAACCGCGGGCGCTAGTCGTGGGTGTGTGGTGGCAGAAGCAGTCCACTGCAGATTTTCGGCCTGGTTGTGTTGACGTTGGGAAACAGGCTTTCGAGGTCAAACTTGCCGATCAAAAACTTCCACCTAGACCCGCTGCATCAACACCACCAGGCACGACAACCCCTCCCACCCCCCGCCCCCCAAACGGCCACGCTTTGACCTCTTACCGAAGCTCCGCTTGGACCTGTCGCGCTTCTTCCAGCTCGGTCGCCGCCTCCGCCAACGCCCGCGCCAACTCCGTCACCCCCCCCTCCTTTCGCGTGGCCCCCTTCTCAGCAGCATCGGTGGTAGCTTCGCCACCAGCGCCGAGCGCAGCACCGGCCGCACCAGCGGCACCGGCCGCCACCTTCGACGCAACGCCCGGCCGCTCTCCCCCGCCAGAGTGGTGTCGGCCCCACCCGCTCCCCGCCACCCCCGTACCGTCGGGGACCGATCCAATTGGGTGCCCCCCGTCCAACTCCTCCTTGAAGATAGGGCTGGGAGCGGGGGGCGGGGACCCGCCGGGTTGAATTTCCTGCGTTCGTTCCGCGCCTGGCGCCCACCCTTTGGAATGGATGGATCGGCAGGGAGACATATGGGGGGGGGGGACGCGAACAGCCGACACTTGAGGCGGGGGTGAGGCTAAGACGGGGGTGGAGTCCGCGAGTACCCAACAAGCACAACAACAATAACACATGAATAAGTCACCAAGCTAGTGGAAACAACGTATCCTATTGCAGGCAACAGGATTGAAGCGCACCTGGGGCCCCCCACGACGCTCCTTGCCCCCACGGGTCTGCCCAATCCCAGTCTGCGTCCCCGTGCCCCATCCCGTCGTAGCCATACTGCGGCTGCTGCGGCTGCTGCTCGTGCTGAGACGGGGACCCTGATCCCCAAAGGCCTCTTTTCTGCGCCATCGTGGAAGGGCTCTGTCCGTCCGTGCCGCCCGCGCCGGTTGATCCCGTCGCCGTCCCCACGTACCCAGCAGGCCCGCCACCGCCCGGCAACACCCCTTCGTCGCCGTCGTGGCCCTCCCAGGCTGGCGGGCTGCTGCTAGCGGGGTGCTCTTCGCGTGTCTGCGGTTCCTGCGAGACCAAGAACCACTCGTCAGTCGTACCGTCTGCTGCTGCTGAGGGCGCCGCCGCTCCTCCCTTTTCGGCGGCGATGATCTCGTCCGTGCCCGACGCTGCTAGCCGCGCTTGGTCGGCTCCTGCCCCCGCGGCGCCCAGTACCCCGTCGTGTTTTCCAATCCTCCCGCCGCCCTCGCTCTGCCCTGCCAGACCATCGCCCGTCGTCCCCAGCTCTGCTATCCGGCCGGCTCCGGCGCTCGCGGTTGAAGGAGCGATGACGGAAACCCCTGTCCACCACTGGTCCTGGTCGCCGGCCCTGCGCTGTTGCTCGTCAGTCGCCTCGAGGGCACCACCGCCCACGTCCCCTTCAACTCCATCAGATTGCGCACCAGAGGGGTCCTCAGGAGCAGCAGCAGCGGTAGCAGCAGCAGCGACTCCCTCTCCAGCGACACCGCCTTCCGGTCCTACGCCAGTCGGGGGAGCCTGAACCGCGGGGCCTGCCAAGCCTCCCGCGCCGAACGAACTACTACTGCCCGCCCGCGACGGCTCGCTACACCCCCCCGCCGCCGATTCCTCCTCGTCCCCCCACCCCTTCGCTTGCGGCCCCTCCCACCGCTCGTTTGACGCACCAGGAGGCTGCTGCTGCGGCTGCTGCTGCTGCTTGTGCTGTTGCCCGCCGCCGAAAGCTTGAGGATCGTCCGGCAGCCTCTCGTGCCGCGATCGACCCCCCCCCCCCCCCCGGCCGGAGTGACTCCACCCCCGGTCCCTCGCCCCTTGCCACTGCTCTTGGGAGCGCTCTTCCCGCAGCGCGCCACGGCCCCCGGCGGGGGTTGCACCGCGGCTCTGCCATTGCTGTTGCTGCGGCTGTTGCTGCGGCTGTTGCTGCTGCTGCTGCTGTTGCTGCTGCTGCCTCGCAGCCTGGCGTCGCAAGCCAAACCAGCCCCGCTTCCTGGCCCCATCGCCACCGGCTGCAGAGGAGGAGGGTGGGCGCCCTCCCCGATCCGGAGGCTGCGAGGAGAAGTCTCGATGGGAAGAAGAAGGCGACCGCGGTTCGTTGGTTCCGGCGGCGGCGAGATACCCAGGTGTCGCAGCCGAAGCAGCCGATGGAGCCACCGCTGTTGCTGGATCAGCAGTCGTGGTGCGACGAGGCTGTTCCCACGTCGTTTCGCCCGTCTTTTCGTTGTAAAACTGCGACGACCGACCACCACGGGCCCCACGGAATAACGGATGAAAGCAGAACGGACGGGGGGACGCGGGCGGCCAAGTGCGAGCGGTGTGAACGAAGTGAGGCATGTACGCATACACATCAGAGGGTTGTCGGCATGCCATGTGCAGAATAAGCACGCTCGGATTCGGCGATACAATGCATGTTGGGTCTTGCGATTTGGTGTTAGGCGGCGAGAGGGTCGTGGGGGAAGGATGGGTAAAGCGGAGGGGGCGAAGAAGGTACAGCAACCCTTGGGAAATACAGCAATACGGCAGGTGACAGAAGAACCACACCCGCAGAAGAAACCACACCCCTAACGAAATGTAGAGAAAACCACAACCGTTCTTTCAGTCCTGGAAAATGCACCCATGAACCACACGGGCGCAGAAGGACAGAAGGTATCACACCCCCTTCATTGAGCCGAAAATACACAACCACGGAGCCCCGTATCACACCGGTTTTGCACCGGTGTGGTATATAGGCCGTGATCACGCATAAAGCGCACGAAACCCTGCGCTAGAGGTATGGTGACCGACAACACAGCGGAGATGAACGAAGCACACACCACTGCTGAAAGCATCGCGGCTCAGATGGCAGTGAGTCGAACAAACTCCAGCGGCGGCGCCACGGCCAATTACGGCATATTTTTCTGTGGTCCTTGAGACCTCCCGCACCACCCGCTGTGTTTGCCACCGCCTATGCAGCGCCTGTGCTGCTGACGCCCGCACATGATATGTGTAACGTTATCACACTCCGTGATTAACGCACTACCTCGATATCATACCCCCAGCAAGGGTTGTGTGGACGCAGTTCATACGGGTAATATTTTCAGGCCCCATCAATACGACAGCCCTTTGTTATTATACCCCTGTAGGTGCGGTCGTGTGGGCGCACGTTATCCCACGGATGACATTATCACACCGTATCTTGATCACACACTCTTGCGATCACACACCCTGAGGGTGGAGTCCTTTGAATGTAGTTTCATCACAAGGATCACACAAGATAACACCCCCTTACAGAATACCACACCCGTGTGATATTTTTTGAACCTCCGACAAATCACACCCGTGTGTTGTATTATGTCACCAACGGTAGTTGGTCGTTGTTGAGGGTGAGTGCACTGCTCTGTTCACAAAAGAAATGAAAATGCCAGCCACACCTACATTTGTAGATATACCAAATCAGCCGGTGCACCGCCAGCAGACGACGACAGCACTGGCGGTTGGTTCAAAGGAACGCGTGATTCTCAGGAGAGAACCTGCTCAGTTGGTTACCGATAGAGGCGGAGAGATGGCACCTCCCCTAGGTCGACCTTCAAAGCTTGCTTGCTCCCCAACCAAAGAGGGTGCGGGAAGAGCGCGATGCGCCCATGGATATCTCGGACGCGATGCTTCCGAAACCACCATCCTTCATCTTCACAATCCTCATCTTGGTTGTGGAGCAATGTGGAGCTTTGAAGATTGGTCTATACTCCGCCTCTTTCGGCACTACAGTAGCAGAGCCGACACCAAGGCAGTACTGCAGTAGTTGTAATACGGTTACAGTAGTGCTGTAAACTGGTTAAGTCTGCATGCAGTACATGTGTAGCGAAGCTCGATTAAAGTCTGTGGGTAAGATTACGTCGCACATAACGCTGGTAAAACGAACCCAAGATTTCGAAATTCCGCCAGCATGCCAGAGGCACACATGCTAAATAGTACAGGCAAGATGCTCTGCACACAATGATTCGAGAGGATCCAAGGTTGCTCTTTCTCAGAGCAGCACAAGCAGCACACGCCAAAGAGAGCAAAAGGCCCAGGGAGCGCACACCACGCCACGCGGCGCTCTGTAGGACCGAGCGAGGCTACAGCAGTAGCTACATCTTGCCGTTGCGGAGAGCACGCGCAACGTCGGTTGACTCTCGTCGAACTTCCGAACCGCTCGACCATGAACAAACCAAGCAGCACCCCGAGCTTCATCAGACGAAAGACTTTCGTTGTTCTCGTTTAGTAATCACGCTGTTGTTCATGCCCGCCAAAAGCCTGCGTCGTTGTGTCGTGGTGCTCCTGCTGTACATATCGAAGTCCCTCAACTCACATATGGTGTGTCCTGCTGGAAATGGACTGTCCATCCCGGGGGCACGCTCGGCGGTGCCACTCCACTGAGGCACCCGCCAGCAAGGCTAAGAGCCAAGGCAGCTGCTCGCGGCCAGCACCTCGTCGAATGTCGTCGTCGTGTAGCCATCGTGGTGTGTGTGCCTGCTTTGCTTGTGCCTTGTGTGTGTCTTGCCTTTTGTCTTTTGGCTCGGGGGCTCAGGCGGAGGCACAACAAACGGCTGTTGCATGTATGTGTCACTATCGAAAAATGATTTTGCGTTGCCCCTCCTCCTCAACGCGCTTGCTTGGCCTCGGCGTGGCCACTCTCTGCTAGCTACCGCAGTGCAACAGCAGCCGACATAAGCTTCCGGTGTGTGGGAAACTGCCGGACAAGCCTGAGCCGCGCTTAGTTTTCACAATATAAGACACAAATCATGGTGAGTCGGCCCATCTTTGGTCGCCATTCTTACTAACTACTTCAATACTTGCTGGACCCCACCCTCGATCCGTCGTGAGTTGGGCTGCTGCTGCTGTGATTACGGTCAAGGGGACGCAAGACTAGAGAGACGATTTTATTGTCATGTTTCTGTGGGAGGCTCCATCATTTGGTTGCGTTTAAGATCAAGCCATGTCATCACCTTTGCTGTTATATTGTTGGCGTTCGCAATATCTTTCGCACCCAACGTCTTACAAATACAGCAGTTGCACCGCAGATGCCCACACAGGTAGCTGAAGATGCAGCCAGATCCATGACTGCCATACCTCAATCCTACGACTGTTGTAGATTTTTGGCTCCCCGAGCCCGTTGTAGATGGCTAGTTGGCGGCTGAGATCAGGTCGAGACTCCATCGGTTGTTGGCGTACCCATGCAATATTCAAGCCTGACAATGGCAACGTAATGGTGTCTTAACCTGGAGACCACGCGACAAGTATCGCCCCTGTGCGTGTGGCGTTGCTCAACCGCTGGTGTGCCTCTCTAGCAGTTGATTGAAACCGCGATACATATATCGGGACGACTACGCGTTTTCTTCTTGGCCCGGAGAAGACGGAACACGATTCCGCCAGCCACGGCCTTTCGCGCGATCGTGCTGGCGTTCCCAACACCGCTCATCGGCAGTCTTTATCTACATTATAGGCCAGTCGTCTACGTCTCCAGATGCCAGATGCAAAGAGCTGAGATTTGTCCCGCCGCCAGCCCTGCTTCTCCCGCCCGCGAATTTTTCCGTCTGAATCTGAATCTTAACACCTGGACTGCTGACAAAGTCATGCCGACCCCCCCCCATTCTTCATTCTCCCGATCCCATCCGCGCGTGCCCCTAATTTACCCTCGTTTTCGCAGGGGTACCACACGATTCTCTTGGTCCAGCGAGACTCGGTCAACAGTAGGATGTACTACGACCTCCCGTCCACAAGCCAAGCAATGGAACGTGAGTACCAGCTACCACACACACACACATGTATGGGTGGAAGGACAACGAGGACTGTGTTTCATGTTCTGGTCCACGCCTCGGCGCATGAATCTATTTATCTTTGGAAATGGTATGTTTTCGAAGTCGGGTCGACCGTTGGTCCCTGAGCAGTGCGTAGTCGATACTGCTGTGATGGCCAACACGTTGAGACACAACCCCTGCAAGACTCACGCATCGCACAAGCAAGCAGTGCCTCGCAGCAGCTAAGAGACCATCCGCCACCGTGTGCTTACCCACTTGCGCTGGGCTGCACGAGCGCATTGGGACCCCTGACAACCGCCGAGAATCAAACCTGGTCAATATGGGTCGTGCTGTTCAGGGGGGGAGGCCCGCTTGTTGCTCTTTCCGGATTGATTCATAGTTTGGGATTATTTCCTCATCGGAACAAAAACACTTCCATTTTATTTCGTAAGTTTAAGGAGATGATTGCCATCTCCCTGCACATGCGAGGCAATCGGTCAAATATCGCTTTTCGTTCTTTCGGTTGCAGGCGTGGTAAAAATGTACGAGGCTCGGTTGAAGGAGGTCAACCCGCACCAGGTTCACATCACGTACGATATCACCGACCTATACGGCTTCATCGACGAACTCGGAGACTTGAGCGCTCTCGTGTGAGTTGTGTGTTTCGAAGGTCGATGTATGTATGCATGCGTCCGTGGTGTTTGCTGTCGTGACCCTTGCTTTCCGTTCAGCCCTGTGCGGAGTTTCTCTAGCACATCCATACACCATACTGATCCTGCTAGGCGCGCTAGAGTTGTGTTGGTTGCGGATATGCTTGCTTAGGTCAAGCAGTTGGACACAGTTGTCGGCCACGTTTGCAGGAAACCATCAGAGTCTGTCGACACGATTGGTGTGCCGCCGCTTTAGCGGAGTCGCTAAACACCGCCAAGCTTCAAATGATCGTGTCCTGACAGCAGTTCGCTGAGTTGCCCGAATGATTTGGTTCCGAGGAAATCTCGCCCAGAAGTGCATGTACATTATGAAGCGGAATCCGGCCAATTTTGTACGTGGTCCTTGTTGTTTGTGTCCCTGTGGAAGAGAAACTACGCATAATGATGCTACCAAGCCATGACGAATCACGTCAATCTCATCCGCTTTACCGAGTACTTGTTGCGATACCACCCCCCCTCCTCCACTCCTCCCCTGCGTGTTCTGGGGCGCCCATTGTGTGTTGCACAAAAAAAAAAAAAATACAGGGTAAACACGGACACGGGGTTGTACACGCCACACGGCAAGTCGTGGATAAAGGAGTACCTCTTCAAGTACTTCCAGCAGCAGGCCGAATCCTAAGGCACGTGGCACCATCCCGTCCGGAGCTTCACCAAGCTCTCGGGGAACGCCCCACTTGTTTTTGGATCTTGTAGACTTTATGGCGACTTGTAGACTTTGGGCGAGGCAGGTGTTAGTGTGGGGTACCCCCGGGGTAGTATTGGCATTCGCGTAGCCCCCCCCCCCTCCCTCCCCCCCATCCAAGGGTGCATCCTCGTTATCGTTTTTATTTTTTTGAAACTTTGATGTTGGATGAAAGTTACGACGTCCCTCCCCCTACCGTGTGTTCGTATGGTGGCTACCGTATCACCGTGAGGCAGGCAGGACACGGCGCGTGTCGTCGTGTTGAGCTTGGGTACCAGGTACTGTAGTGTCTCTCAACGGAAGAAAGGTGGACATCGGCCCTGGCGTGCAGCGAGGCTGAGTCGATCGTGTACGTACGGTGATAATGGTGTTAATGGTATTAGCCGGGAGGTGCACACAGATAACGGAAGGATATTCTGCGTTCTTTTTGGACCAGACTGGGCCAAACGCTGGCAGATCACGTCGACGAGATTTGTATGAGCCTCGGCCCACGTTTCTTCCTCTTGGTCAAAGTCGGTGCCGCGTTGAATTCTGATTGGCCGAAGTAGGCAGCGTCCTTTTAGCGTGCGACTGAATGCTGCCCCGAACTATGTTCATGAGCTTCGTTGGCGCACGAGTTCCAGGCCTTGGTAAAAGATGGTCTTCAGTTGTCCGTTCCAATGCGGTTGGTTTACCCTTGAAGCTTAATCGGATGGGGGGGACGAAGGCAGCTATAGGATAGATTGTTGACGGATTGCTTCACGATTGAGGGACAGATGCTGTTGCAATTTGTTAATTACATCAGCCTAGGCGGTTCAGGCCGTCCCAACAGCCAGAAATCGAACCAAATGTCGCCGGAGTTTTCGGTGATGTTACAGTAGTACCGGTTGTCCGGGCGTTCACTCGTGAACGAACCTGAACGGAAGTCAGCGGCAGCATGTGCTTTATGAAAACGTTAGCGCGTATACGTCATTCCAACAAAACCCATACGTTGCAACTTCGAGAAGCATGATGTTGAAGTCATATTTGCCAGTACCGTATTCTGAGCCTTGCCCGTCCAATCCTCAACGTCGTGGCCGTCGAATGCCTGCACCTCATCCACGTGGGTGAACGCCGGCAGATTCCCCATCTCAGCATTGCCGCCGTGTGCACTCCATTGATGTCTAATTCAGGATGCATCCATCCCTGTCCAGAGATCTCCGTCCCGTTACATCTAACTCAAGAGTGACGCGTGTTTTTTGGTTGAGTGTCTGGGAAAGAGCCCCCCACAACATCTAGTTCGCCCCGCGAATTCCGAACAGATTTTTATCGTGTTGTTCACCTCATCACCCCTCGTTCTTCGCCTTTCCCAACAACTATGGAAAACTGGGTCTGCTTCCAAGGCTGGGTTAACCCTGCCCGGAGGGACACGGCATACATGCTCTGTCCTGTTTCACGTAGGGCATACCTATCCGGTCAAGACCCGGCACATCGAACGACGGACGGAATGGTGAGTGAGGTCGAGAAACCCATCATCAACGAGATTATAATATGAAGACGGGCACATGGCGGGGACTTCAGGACACCGCCCAATTCTCGCACATACACAACCAACCGAAGAGTGGCCAGAGATGGAATTTTGATAAAGGTCTGTGTACAAGGACTAAGTATAATTCTGCGCGAAATCCGGCCCCCGCTCCATCTCGTCCTATCCTCCTTAGGTGAAGAATCCCGAGACCATCTAGCAGCCATTAGGGATCTTGCTATTGAAAAACACGCGGAAATAAAGACGCACGTGAGGGAAAAAAAATCCAACGATGGAAAAAGAACGGGCGGAGCTAAAATAAGCTTAGGCCACTTGTTACGCTGTCTCTTTTTGGGCTGTCCCTTTTCTCAAAAAGGGACAAAGTTGCCCAAAAAGGGACAGGATGGGGTGATCTTTTTTCGCTGTCCCTTTTCGGGAGGTTCAAAAACGCAAAAAAAGACCACGTAACAAGTGGTTTTTGGTCAGTTGTCCTTTTTTTGAGAAAAGCTTTTTTGAGAAAAGGGACAGCCCAAAAAGAGACAGCGTAACAAGTGGCCTTACTGGTCACATCCTCGGCGATCCATCAATGAGTCAACGAACACTTCACTGACAACGTTTTTTTTTTGTTTTTTCCCGCGATGAACGGCACCAATCAATTTTCAAATTTTCAAGGTATTCATAGGGAACCAACCAACGCGCACGGATTCCAGCTGTACTGCAGGATGTGGAGGAGTAGGCCCCACTTGTCTGCGGGAACGCATGCTGTGCTTGTTGGGAGAAATATTATGGTACCAGATAGATCTGCAGGATTGGAACACGATCGTTGCAGCTAGGGGACCCGCCGTGGGGATCATGTATCAAGGCAGGATGATAGTACTATCCTATCAGCGTGGCGCCCGCGAATACCCACCGCACCGCCGCTGCCGCCGCGGGCACACATGTGCTGTGTGCATCGCTTTCGCATGTTGTCTCGAGGCACCGCCGTAGCGACAATGGCGGCCCTTTCCACGGCCTGCCGTGCCGTCGCGTTCGTTCCGACTTTCACGTCGAACGCCGCGATTGTCGGCAGCGGAAGAGCCAGGCAGTTGATCGGTCCTGCTGCTGCTGCCGCCGCACGGCGTAGCAGTAGCAGTAGCATCAGCCGCTCGCTCGGAGTCATGCCGGAGAGGAGGGGGGCGGGAATCAGTCGACGTCCCCACGGCGCACAAATGATGATGAGTAGTAGTGCACAGGACACGGCAGAGGTGGAGACTCTGACGGCTAGCATCAAAGCGAAGGGAGATGAGATAAGAAGGTCAGCGGGGGGGGGTGTTAACAACCGTTTTACTGGTGCAACACGTGCAGGACGGGAAAGCCCAGCGCTTAGTCTATGCATGAATGGGTTGCCCAACTACTGTACACAGCGGAAAGAGCACGACATGCGCTCATGTAAATCCTAGGCGTCAGAAACACGAATGCAGATAACACAGAATCAAATGCACCTGCCTCCTCGCTTGTCGGTGTCAAACGAAAAACGGCAAATTGCAGTAATAAGTCATGAGGTGCATGCGCAAGGCCAACGGCCAACTCAGGAAGTGGCATCCCTGCTGCTCTCGCTGACACATGTGTCGACTACAGCTTTTAAAAGAAAATGTACATGCTATCACTGAAAGATAATCCGTTGAGATAGTACCAAAGTCTAAGGGAGGGTGGTTGACTTGACGGCATTTCTTGAATAATATGCTGCCTGACTCATGCTGGATACAGGCAAGCGACGACCTTGGCAACTGCAAGAACTTCCTGCTCAACACATTTTCAAAAATAAGAACTTGAGCACACCATTCGAAGGCCCGCCCGGTTGAGAATCCCTGCACCAGAACCTGTATGGCAGCCATTTGTAGCCCACTATACATAGGAACTGACAACCCCAACCTCGCCCAAAACTAGAGGTTCTGTAGTGCGGCCGCTATCTGCGCTTGTATTCGACTCCGAAAGCCGTCCCAGCGGGCTAGGTTGCGACGGCAGCTCCAATGTAATGTTGTAGGGGCGCCCTTTGCCTGTGCGACCCCCCACACCCCGAACACCCATCGTGTATTCTATTTTAGCTCGCTCTAGATATGTCGTTTTCGGGCGTGGCAAAATAGGCGTGTAAGGCCCGCACCTGGATGTGCGTTGTATGTTTTCTTTAGTAGGCATCAACCGCGGTAACCGGCTGACCACTGAAAAACACTATGTGCAACCCCGAGTGTTGTGTTCGTGCTTCTTTAGTTTGCATCTATAGCCGTAAACGGCTGGCCAAAAGGAAGACGTCAGTGTCACCCGCAGAAAAAAATGAACGGAAGCACGTGCGTTTGTGCCAACAGGGGTCGGGAAAAATGTGGGCGGTTCCTTGCTCTCCAGAAGCAGACCGAATAACCGCTTTCGTGGGCACGGCCTGGTCCAGCCGGCACACAACCTCTAGACCAGACCGAAGAGATTTTTCGCATTTTTTACAACCGCTACCTGCACAGGTCATCCAACTCACCAACAGGGAGCTGCTGAACACGGCACCGCAATAACGGGAAACTTGAAGCTATATCCTGGATTCAGTGTTGAAGATGATCTTCTACCATCGGTTTAAGACTCGGTAGCACCCTTGTAGGCAATTGGGGGTGGCCTGAGTCCCACGCTCTGTGGCATCGCTCACCCTTCGCGAGAATCAGACGATTGCCGCGTTAGCGTGTGTGTTCTCGCCGAGGACGTGTGTTTCGAAGCAACATGCCGTTTGTCCTAGTTTCAGTGCGGATATACTCTAGTACAGTATCCCGCCTGATCGTGGGCCACGCCAGAACGTTATATGTGGGTCTTCGAGTAAAGACTTCTGTACCGTAAAGATCTGCTCCTCCCCCATCCATCTTGTCGCAGTCTGAAAGAAGGAGGGGCGGACAAGGAATCCCTCGGCCCTGCGATCGCGGAGTTGGTCTCTCTGAAGGCGGACTTCGAGCGGGTGACGGGGTCGCCGTTCGACACCCCCAAGAAGACAAAGGCCAACAAGAAGGCCCCCGCTGATGACAAAAAGGTGAGAGCAAGAAGATTGGGGGGGGTTAAGGTTGTGCGGGTTCCGGTGTTGATGAAAGTTCCGCGTGATTCTTTGATTGGCGTCGACCGCGCTTGACGCGTACGTGTGGTTGTGTGCTTGTGATATGCGAGGTGGGGGGGGGTCTGTCTTTCCTTGATTAACATGGACCCCGCCAACCGGCTGGCCAAGAAGAAGACGTGTACGGGTGTGTGGATGTTTCGCCTTTTGGCATCGACCTTGCGACCCATTATCTGTGTGGTTGTGTCCGTCACGTGAGGCAGAGAGAAGAGAGCAAAGCTGTGTGCCTTAGCGAGAGGACGCAACCTAAAACCAAGCCGTTTTTTTTTGCGTCCCACGTCGTCAAGGAAGGCGCGCACGCGCGCCTTAGCACGCGTCCGTTGCTCGCGCAAAGCGTCCATGTCTCTTGTGTTCTGATGCTTCGTCGCGATACTTTCTCGATACCGACCTGACCCGTATCCAATTCCTACTCTGCCGCACTTGTCCAGCCCGTAGAGAAGCGTGTTCTTTATTCCTTTTTTATATTCTTATTTTTACGCGCACGGGTAGGGCGGGAACGCTTCCAAGGCCGACCAACAGACGTCTCGTCGCATCACGCCAAGGGCGGAGAACTTCAGCCAGTGGTACTTGGACGTCATCGCGGCGTCGGAGATGACGGAGAACAGCCCCACCAAGGCAAGAACCGAACCCTATTTCAGAAGACTTTTCGTCGGTTTGTCCAAGACTTGATTGAGTGAGCAGGCCATCTCGTTGCGTGGATTGGATCTCTTTCAGCGACCGTGGGTTGCGCAAGGTGCCGATGATTCTCAAAGCCCGATTACTAAAACCCCCCAAAAAATGATGACGCCTACGTTGCATGGAAAACCTATCAACGAGACGACCCCAAGGCCGCCATTTGCGGTACCGCCACTGCCGTTTTGTGCTTCGGTTGTCAGACTTTGAAAGTCTGTCAGGGGGGTGTGGTATCTTACGCCATGTCACCTACGGTACCAGTGTGTTCATGAAGAAGTGAGCGTTCCCGTGTGGTTTCCATTCTCCATGTTCCACACTTCACCCGGGTATCGGAGATGACGTAGAACAGCTCCGCCAGGGTGAAACGTGGAGTAGCGTTTTGCGCTGTTTGCTGTAGTGGGACAGGGCGGAGAGCAGTCGGGCAAGCGTGACCGGCGAAACGGAGGGTGTTTCTACGTATGATTGCGGCAAGTGCGTCATGTGTAGAACCTCTTTCGCAGCTTTTTTTTTCTTATTTGTCGAACCAGCATGAAATAGAGTGGGGGGTTTCGCGTCCCTACCCCTAGCCCTGACTCTCGACTTTACCCCCTACTAAATCCAAGCTGAGTGACCCCACGAAGGATACTGCATGTATGTGTTCTGTCTGTTTCATAACGTCGTATCATGTTGAAAAGATAGGTTGTTTCTCTTCGTGGCTTCCTGACCTTTGTTTGACCTTGGCAAATGTGCATTGTTTTCGAGAGAAAGTGGAGTCGTGAGGAAAGAGGGTGTGGCTGGCCCGCTGTCTACC